CACTCCTGCCCCAACACATGATGCCCCTACCACCATGCTAGGCCGTTAGCAGGGCACACTCCTGCCCCAACCCATGATGCCCCCACCACCATGCTAGGCTGTTAGCAGGGCACACTCCTGCCCCAACATATGATGCCCCCACTACCATGCTAGGCCGTTAGCAGTGCTTACTCCTGCCCCAACACATGATTTCCCCACCACCATGCTAGGCCGTTAGCAGGGCATACTCCTGCCCCAACACATGATGCCCCTACCACCATGCTAGGCCGTTAGCAGGGCACACTCCTGCCCCAACCCATGATGCCCCCACCACCATGCTAGGCTGTTAGCAGGGCACACTCCTGCCCCAACATATGATGCCCCCACTACCATGCTAGGCCGTTAGCAGTGCTTACTCCTGCCCCAACACATGATGTTCCCACCACCATGCTAGGCTGTTAGCAGGGCACACTCCTGCCCCAACATATGATGCCCCCACTACCATGCTAGGCCGTTGGCAGGGCTTACTCCTGCACAAACACATGATGCTCCCACCGCCATGCTAGGCTGTTAGCAGGGCACACTCCTGCCCCAACCCATGATGCTCCCACCACCATGCTAGGCTGTTAGCAGGGCACACTCCTGCCCCAACATATGATGCCCCCACTACCATGCTAGGCCGTTAGCAGTGCTTACTCCTGCCCCAACACATGATGCTCCCACCACCATTCTAGGCCGTTAGCAGGGCACACTCCTGCCCCCACCCATGATGCCCCCACCACCATGCTAGGCCGTTAGCAGGGCACTCCATCCCCAACCCATGATGCTCCCACCACCATGCTAGGCCGTTAGCAGGACACACTCCAACCCAAACCCATGATGCTCCCACCACCATGCTAGGCCGTTAGCAGGACACACTCCAACCCAAACCCATGATGCTCCCACCACCATGCTAGGCTGTTAGCAGGTCACACTCCTGCCCCAACATATGATGCCCCCACTACCATGCTAGGCCGTTAGCAGTGCTTACTCCTGCCCCAACACATGATGTTCCCACCACCATGCTAGGCCGTTAGCAGGGCACACTCCTGCCCCAACACATGATGCCCCTACCACCATGCTAGGCCGTTAGCAGGGCACACTCCTGCCCCAACCCATGATGCCCCCACCACCATGCTAGGCTGTTAGCAGGGCACACTCCTGCCCCAACATATGATGCCCCCACTACCATGCTAGGCCGTTAGCAGTGCTTACTCCTGCCCCAACACATGATGTTCCCACCACCATGCTAGGCCGTTAGCAGGGCATACTCCTGCCCCAACACATGATGCCCCTACCACCATGCTAGGCCGTTAGCAGGGCACACTCCTGCCCCAACACATGATGCCACCACCACCATGTTTATCACAGTGGAGACAGATGACACCAGGATGGGAGGAAGACTCCATGGGAACCATTTGGACGTTTTTCATGATATATATATATCTTGTTTTTTGGTAACATGTTTTGATATTAACGCAACTTTAGGGGAAAGCAGAGCAACCCTGCATGTTTATAACTGTGGCCTGAAGACGCCTCTTCATCTGGACTGTGAGGAAGACGAGTCCTGCTTTGTTCAGGTGGACATCAGCAACAATGACAGCCCACCTCACAACAAGCTATTTCTTTTATTAGCACTCCGGCTGTCATGTTGCAGCTGCTGTGAGGAGTCACTTCCAGGGTTGACCATTAATTGCTGAGCGGGGGGACTGGGCCCGCTCCATGGGGGCATTGATCCAAGCTGCTGTTTTATGAATAGAGCTCTTTGCTCTGCAGGATAACCATTTTACCACCCCAGAAGAACAAAAAACACAATCAATGTTTTATGCAGGCAGTGACATCTTCTATTGAACATGAGGGCATAAAATCCCTAAACAACAGCAGAAAGGCTTCGCAGCAACAGAACGCTGCTGTTATTGTGTTTCATAGAGGCCATTTTAAATAAACTTAAAAATTCAGATCTAGAGCTTTAAATTACATCAAAATATTCGAGGTGATGTCTCTATTACTGCACAGCCAGTGTTCTTTTAAGTACTTCCTGTCAAATCCTGCGGTCATAGATAATATGTTTATATTTATGCATTTAGCAGACACTTTTATTCAAAGCAGACATTAGCGTGAAGGGCCGTTTCTAAGGAAAATTACATTGAAATGTAAGTGATAATCTGGAGTGCATCCTTATAGCAGTTTTAAAGCGTGCATAAATTATTTTTGGGGGCGGACCCATATCAATATCATTCATGGGGCCCCAAATTCCTGGTAGTGCCCCTGCCTGCAGCTGTACTTATATTTACTAAACTGATTATTTTATATTATGCACATGTCTGTTGCTGCAGAGTTGTTAGACTGCAGCTATGGGAAGCATCGGTCCTTTCAAAGCTGCTGGTTTTAACTATGTGGTTGGAAAAAAGCATCAAGCAATTAATTCACTAAGCAGTGGTGCAATTTACCAAGGATGCATTAAAAAAAAAAGATCAACAGACCATAAGTAGTTAAAGTGTATCTTGGATTTGCATAATAGTTTTGGAGAAGCAGAAGCAAATAGCTCAACAGACCAAAGTTTGCTACTGTGGTAAAACCACGTCACTGATATTTGCATTTTGTAAAAAACCAAAATCAAAACAAATCTAAACACTGTGACTTTTTTTTAAGCTAGTCATCTTTAAAGAGGAAGATTTGGAACACCATCAAAGACGTTAGCCACTACACCTTTAAAGAGCAGGCTGCTGCTTTAGCTCTGCTCTGTGGTTCAGATGGATTCACTTATTTTCATTTAGGGGGGTCCGAATAAAGGAGGGGTGTAAAGTTTTCCTATTATGCACTTTAATACCATAAAGAATATTATTGGTCTGTCACAGAAAATCTCAGTGGAATACACTCCAGTTACTGGTTACAACATGACTAGATCAAAGGGTTCAGGGGGGGTTGAATACTTTTTTAAAGGTATTTCCCAAAGCCAACTGTCAGGGTCTGTGGATGCTGTTGTGAACTCAAATTCAGAGTAGAAGCGGCAGGGATGATTAATTGTAAAATTTAAGAAGTAAAAATACAAAATCCATAGTCCAGAACTGATCAACAAGAAATGTTAAGACTTATTAAAAAACTGTCTCAGATTAAAGATTTTCTCAGATTAAAGACTTTCTCAGATTAAAGACTGCCTCAGATTAAAGTCTGTATCAGATTAAAGTCTGTCTCAGATTAAAGTCTGTCTCAGATTAAAGACTGTCAGATTAAAGACTGTCTCAGATTAAAGACTTTCTCAGATTAAAGACTGTCTCAGATTAAAGACTTTCTCAGATTAAAGACTGTCTCAGATTAAAGATTTTCTCAGATTAAAGACTGTGTCAGATTAAAGACTGCCTCAGATTAAGGACTGTGTCAGATTAAAAGACTTCCTCAGATTAAAGTCTGTCTCAGATTAAAGATTGTCTCAGATTAAAGACTCTCATATTAAAGACTTTCTCAGATTAAAGATGGTCTCAGATTAAAGACTTTCTCAGATTAAAGACTGTCTCAGATTAAAGACTGCCTCAGATTAAAGACTGTCTCAGATTAAAGATTGTCTCAGATTAAAGACTCTCATATTAAAGACTTTCTCAGATTAAAGACTGTCTCAGATTAAAGACTGTCTCAGATTAAAGATTGTCTCAGATTAAAGATTGTCTCAGATTAAAGACTCTCATATTAAAGACTTTCTCAGATTAAAGACTTTCTCAGATTAAAGACTGTCTCAGATTAAAGACTGTCTCAGATTAAAGATTGTCTCAGATTAAAGACTCTCATATTAAAGACTTTCTCAGATTAAAGATGGTTTTAGATTAAAGACTTTCTCAGATTAAAGTCTGTCTCAGATTAAAGTCTGTCTCAGATTAAAGTCTGTCTCAGATTAAAGACTGTGTCAGATTAAAGACTGTCTCAGATTAAAGACTTTCTCAGATTAAAGACTGTCTCAGATTAAAGATTTTCTCAGATTAAAGACTGTGTCAGATTAAAGACTGCCTCAGATTAAGGACTGTGTCAGATTAAAAGACTTCCTCAGATTAAAGTCTGTCTCAGATTAAAGACGGTCTCAGATTAAAGACTTTCTCAGATTAAAGATGGTCTCAGATTAAAGACTTTCTCAGATTAAAGATGGTCTCAGATTAAAGACTTTCTCAGATTAAAGATGGTCTCAGATTAAAGACTTTCTCAGATTAAAGTCTGTCTCAGATTAAAGTCTGTCTCAGATTAAAGACTGTCTCAGATTAAAGACTGTCTCAGATTAAAGTCTGTCTCAGATTAAAGACTGTCTCAGATTAAAGTCTGTCTCAGATTAAAGTCTGTCTCAGATTAAAGACTGCCTCAGATTAAAGATTTTCTCAGATTGAAGTCTGTCTCAGATTAAAGACTGCCTCAGATTAAAGATTTTCTCAGATTAAAGACGGTCTACAGCAGAACATCTGTTTCCTGAATTTCATCAAAGCCAAATTCATTTCAGTTATTAAACGTTGGCTCTTAAGGCGGTCAGGACATCGTTAATAAGTCTATGTTATTCAGGGAACCATTTTAGGAATATCAGGCCTTCCAGAAATACCACAACCTTCATGTGGTTTCCCCATAAATCCATCTGGCAACGTGATCCAACAAGAAACCTAATAAAGAAGCATGAATAGAACCTTCAGGCTGCAGGTAAACAGCTGCAGGATTACGTTTGAGGATCGAGTCAATAGTGTCAAACTGAAATCCATGAAGGCTGAATTTAGATGTCCTGAACACCAGGATACTGACTCAGATTAAAGACTGCCTCAGATTAAAGACTCTCAGTTTAAAGACTGTCCTGAACACCAGGATACTGCGTCCCCAGCAGCAGACCCTCTGCAGAGCTCTGCTGAAGCTCATATCGGAGTCAGGTGTGCCGAAATGGAGACACAGATTGCCTGGGACCAGTTTGAGACCAGTGGATTGGATCAAAGGTCTGAATGCAGGAGTGTTGTAGCTCTTACCACAGAGGGCAGTCTCATTTTCTTGCTGAAACAGCAATAATGAGGATGAGGATGGCGAGGACGATGGCTCCGGCCAACAGCAGGTAACACTTTCTCTTCCTCAGTCGCCTCTGTTAAACAAAGAAGCATCATTAGAGGCTGATGGATGCATCCATTCTACCCCAGCTCTGCATAGCAGGGGCTTTAACTGCCATCCTGCAGGTCTGCTGTCCTGCTCTTAGATGGCTTTTTCCAGATTCCTGTTTGCAGAGTTGTTAATACTTCTCATCCATGGATCTGTCCTACTGGTTAGAGGAAAGTATTTCTAATTTCTGGTGTAAAGCAGTCAGCATCCAGTCTCTTTGTGATCCAATTGTCCTTGAAGGTCAAAGCATTCGCCTCCTTCCACTGACCTGACTGATATGTTCCTGCTAGCATTGTCTTTCTATGGTCCTCAGAGTTCACTCCATCATCCTTATCCTCCTCACATAGCCCATCTCTTCCCCTTTCAGAAATCTCTTATGATTCTCCTTCCACCTGAATTCCTGCTTAAACCCATGGATCTCGTAACATTCAGTCCAAACTAGCCTCAAACACCTCTCATCAAGATCCAGTCACAGCCATCCGGCTCCTTTCTGGGACCCTGACCCGTTTAGCCGTAGCCTTAGCCGTTATTTTGAAAACCCATCTGTCTGCACAGAGGGTTGCCTGTCTGCTGCCGTCTCCTCTGTTGCTTTCCATTGCAGACCAGCGCCTCTCATTCTCCAGGCTGGTGCAGGACAGAAAAGATAAGATGCATTGATATATGTTTATATTAATGCTGATTTAGTCCAGAGATAGTTGTTGAGTTTGGTCGCTCTGATTTTTATCCCTCTATAGTCCAATAATGGATTTAAAAAAAAAACGTTACAAACCAACTACCCAGAAAACCTCGCTCAGAGCGTTCCAGGTGAACAGCGCCTCACCTGGAATTTGGACGACAGCTTATGACTGTATTGGGTTTCTAATTGTTTTAATACATATTTTTAACCGATAGGTTGTTTAACATAAACATGATGTCAGCTGCATAAAGCTCTGGCCAGCTTCTCTACAGCTTTTAGCTCCGCCCACCAGCACAGCTGTAAATGTGCTTTACTGGAGGCATCCATGTTTGTCAAAGAACACTACTGCCACCTACTGGTTAGTGACGTCACGGTGCGGTATCGGCTGCGGTATCGGCTGTTGATCAAGTCCCAGTATCTGGTGTTTGTCACAACACGCTATTATCCAAGTCATCTTGAAAACATTCTTCTTCCAAATGTTGGCTACATATTACGGGTTTTTTCTCTGGCCAGAAGTTCGATGGCAAATCCTCCCTCTTCAAGTTGGCGATCCAACGACCAACCCGTCCGTGGAGGATCAGGAATCAGAAAGGTGGAATAACTCTTTTTTTTCACTTTTACCCGATGTATTCCAGCATCCAGCTGCCATGCACGTGGGCATTGTCAGTTTCACTATAGCTCTGGTGAATTTCAATGGTGAAGTCCTCTGGAAATCTTCAATAATTGTTGTTGATTGCAGATGTGTCTAGTAGTTCCCATTGATTTAGCTTGGAAAGCGGGGAGAATGGCGCTAGGCTTACCGCACCGTGACGTCACTGCTGGAAGATGGCAGGAGGGGGGGGGGTTACTATATTTGGGCAAAAATGGCCGCTCCCAGACTCAGTGATCACCATGACAAAGATTTTTTACATTTTATTTACTGATTGACTCTAAATCCATTAAATCACGGCGAATGTATTAGTTTTAGGTATAAAAATGATCCATTTATTATTCCTGCTGACCAAACTTTTCCTTTCAAACTTTCCTTTTCATGCAGAACACAAAATGCTGTTTTCATATTTATGCAAAAACAGGAAGTATAAACATTTTATTGAGGTTTTGGTTGATAAAAATGAGCCGATGTTGCTTCATATTTTCTTAAATGTTCTTCTTTATTTGTATCTCTACATAGACGTGTGCACTCAGCTGCAAACAGCCCAGAAAACAAGCAGCGTCTGTCTGTCCTTGACCTCTGAGGTGGGCCTCCATGGCGTGGTGGTACGGCGGGCCTGCAGGCGGTCCGACTTCCCTCTGGGTTCAGATAACGGATTGATCAGAACATTGGGAGATGATTCAGACCCTAACACTGCTTTAAACTGAAGCACACCTGCTGCTGGGCTCCTCGGTCCTACTGATGCTTCCTTTTCTCTCATTTTCCAAAGCCTTCACTAATATGGACTCTATACTAGTAGGTAATCATTACCACTGCATTTTATTTAAAGATAAAGGAGTAGAGGGAAGAATTTATCTATATTTCACTGCTTTTAATAATTTCCCTCTACTTTAACATTAGAAACCTTATCATATAAAAATTGAAGGTTGTTGCTGCAAAAATGAGAAAAGGTTGAATTGCTTGTTTGCATTTAAATCAGCAGCGATGTGCAAAAAAGGCCCGATCATTCATAAACACAGAAATCCATGTCAATTAGGATGTGCTGTTAAGGAGAGGGGAGTGTTGTGCTGGCAAATAGCAAAGCACCGGGGTTACGGGGTATTTTCTCCTCGCTGCTTGTCTCCTCAGGCGCTGACGATGTGTTGCAGAGGAGAATCTATGTTGTTTGGAAACGCTTTTTCCTCCCAGTTTTTCTCCAGCCTGTTTTCTGCTACAAAGGCAGCGAGAGCAGCGCGTTAGACCAGAGACGAGGCTGGAGTCTTTAAATCCTGACACGCTTCAAAGCACGGAGAGAGCAATTCATCTTCTTATCTGAGACTCAAAACAGGCTTTCTGTGTGGAAGAGAGGGGGAGAGAGGGGGAGAGAGGGGGAGAGCCAAGATGGGAAGAAAAAAAAAAAACGCTGTCGAGTAATTTTCCGTTTAAACGTTCCACTCCACAACAATTTGCATAAGCAGCCCTGCGTCTGTGATAAGAAGATTGGTAATTTTCAAAGGCTCTGTGGGGATTGAGAATTAAAAGCCTTTCTCCACTATCTCCCCTCATGCAGCTGGCCACCATAGATTCCCCTGCTCCTCTCACACATTTCCTCCTAAACTACTCCTTAGAAACTTTCTCTTCCTCCTCCTTTTTTCCTCCTTCCTCTCCCGCCGCTCCTCCCATCCTCTCTTCCCTCTCCTTTCCCCTCAATGCTGCTGTTTTTGGGGAGAAGAACATAGACATAAATACGGTAGATTTGAGGAAGGAGAAAGCTCAACGTAACAAAAGCAGGGTTTCAGTGGAGATGGGAAGCTTTGATCCCCAGAAACTCCTCAGTGCTGGAAGAGAAAACAATCATAAACTCACTGATATTTTGCTCATTTTCAGGGTCCAGTGGCGGCTGGCCAATAGAGGGCGCTAGGGCGTCGCCCCACCCACCCGATGACCTCAAGGTCATTTAAAAGGAAATAAAAAGTAAATTATAAAATTACAAAAACATGAATATATATTTTAGATGTGGCAGATAAATATTTCATCTTTAATGACGTATAAAGCTGTTAGACATATTTCTGCACTGAGGCGTGAAAATCTTTGCACGTAGTGAAAAGTCATCCATGCGCAGTTTCTCCTCCTCAGTGCAGAGGATGGTGCATTCTGCTCTCCTGTATGATGGCATGTTAGAACCATTCAAAAATCAGAAAAAATGGAGTTTACATTTTTGAGCGTAAAGTGACATTTATGAGAATAAAAATGCAAATTTACAAGATTATAAAGGTGCTAACTTAGAGGGAAGAAAGTAGAACATTTACAAAAATAAAACACACTTAACAGAAACACGCACATGTAAGAGATTGTAAACAAGCAGAGTTAGAAGAAAAATTTAGCAAATTTACCAGAAAATTTATTGTATCATTTATTTTAATTTTAAAAACCCCATGGGGAGCCATTGCACCCACTCATTCGATTGCTAAAGTCTCCATTAATGATGAATTTGCATGTGCTTTATGTAGACTTAGACAACCTTTATTGTCATTTTGTATACAGAGAGTATACAAAACTAAATTTTGTTTAGTGCAGCTTTTCAGACAGTAAAAGAAAATCCTTTAACGTGTATTATTATCTTGCATTGTTCTGCAAATGTACAAGTTTATATGGGTGGGGCGCTCTAGGGGGGGGGGCGCTCTAAGGGTGGGGGCGCTCTAAGGGTGAGGGTGCTCTAAGGGTGGGGGCGCTATAAGGGTGGAGGCATTGTAAGGATGGGGGTGCTCTAAGGGTGGGGGGCGCTCTAAGGGTGAGGGCGCTCTAAGGGTGGGGGTATTGTAAGGGTGGGGCGTTCTAAGGGTGGAGGCGCTATAAGGGTGGAGGCGCTATAAGGGTGGAGGCATTGTAAGGATGGGGGTGCTCTAAAGGTGGGGGCGCTATAAGGGTGGGGGCGCTATAAGGGTGGGGGCATTGTAAGGTTGAGGCGCTCTAAGGGTGAGGGCGCTCTAAGGGTGGGGGTATTGTAAGGGTGGGGCGTTCTAAGGGTGGAGGCGCTATAAGGGTGGAGGCGCTATAAGGGTGGAGGCATTGTAAGGATGGGGGTGCTCTAAAGGTGGGGGCGCTATAAGGGTGGGGGCATTGTAAGGGTAGGGGCGCTCTAAGGGTGGAGGCGCTATAAGGGTGGGGGCATTGTAAGGATGGGGGTGCTCTAAAGGTGGGGGCGCTATAAGGGTGGGGGCATTGTAAGGGTAGGGGCGCTCTAAGGGTGGAGGCGCTATAAGGGTGGGGGCATTGTAAGGGTAGGGCTGCTCTTAGGGTGGAGGCGCTATAAGGGTGGGGGCATTGTAAGGGTAGGGGCGCTCTAAGGGTGGAGGCGCTATAAGGGTGGGGGCATTGTAAGAGTAGGGGCGCTCTAAGGGTAGGGGCGCTCTAAGGGTGGAGGCGCTATAAGGGTGGGGGCATTGTAAGGGTAGGGGTGCTCTAAGGGTAGGGGCGCTCTAAGGGTAGGGGCGCTCTAAGGGTAGGGGCGCTCTAAGGGTAGGGGTGCTCTAAGGGTAGGGGCGCTCTAAGGGTGGAGGCGCTATAAGGGTGGGGGCATTGTAAGGGTAGGGGCGCTCTAAGGGTGGAGGCGCTATAAGGGTGGGGGCATTGTAAGAGTAGGGGTGCTCTAAGGGTGGAGGCGCTATAAGGGTGGGGG